TCCCAGCTTGTGACAAACAAGAACCTTGCCAACCTTGGAGTTTCTTGACCACACGCTCCAAAATATAACCAAAAAATTCACCCTTAGAATGTCCCCAAATTGAGGGGATACCCAAGTACCTAGCTTGAGGAGGAAAAGGTTGTAAACCAAGCAACTGACAGCAAGAGGACTACTGAGTATCTGTCGAATTCCTAGAAAAGATAATGCCAGACTTAGAAAGGTTAGCATATTGACCCGAAGCCACACAGTAGATTTGAAGAAGCCTGATGAATTCCCTAAAGCAACCTTCTTTAGCTTTTATAAAGAATAGGGAGTCATCAGCAAAAAACAGATGAGAAATAACCGGACTTCTCCTTCGAATTTTTAATCCCATAAGACGTTTATCATCCACCCCTTTTCTAATCATAGAAGAGATAACATCAGCAACAAAAAGAAATAAGTAGGGAGAAAGAGGATCGCCTTGACGAATACCCCTTTTAGGCTGCACCCCACATATCCGAGTCCCATTCAGAACCACTTGGTAAGATACAGAAGTAACACAATTCATAACAAGGTTAACCCAACAAAGATCAAAGCCCAAAGAGACCAAGGTGGCTTCCAAAAAATCCCATTCAATGCGATCATACACCTTACTAATATCCAATTTGATAGGCAACTCTGGGACAGTGCCACTCTTCTTTCCCTTGAGATGGTGAAAGATTTCATTAGCCATGAAAATACTATCTTGGATATGACGATTAGGAATAAAAGCAGACTAATTTGGAGAAATAAGAGAACCCAAAAAAACTTTCATTCTATTAGCCAAGATCTTAGAAATCACTTTATACACAAAATTACATAGAGCAATAGGGCAAAATTGGGAAATAATTTCAGGTGCCTTCTCTTTAGGAATAAGAACAATATTAGTTAGATTCAAATTAGAAGGCAGCTGACCCCCATCAAAAAAATCACACACCATAAGAAACATATCCTGACCAATAATATGCCAGAAACGATGGAAGAAAATTCTCGAAAAACCATCAGGCCCCTGGGGCTTTAAGGGCACCCAAACTAGAAGCAGCAGCCCAAACCTCTAAAAGGGATGGCTTACAAAGAAGACGGTGATTTATAGCAGCAGTAACTTTAGAGTTGACAGAACACAAAGCTTCACCCTAGTCTCTATCCCCCGAGGATGTGAAAAAATCCTGAAAATAGGACTGGATATGAGAAGAAAGATCTTATTCCCCTTCAATCCATTCACCATCAATGTTTTTGAGTTTAGCAATGTGATTTTGATGACGTCTTTGGATGGTATATAAATGAAAAAACCTCGTATTTTGATCACCACCCTTCAACCAATTGATCCTAGAACGCTGCAACCAAAATTGTTCGTCTCTGCTACGCACAACATCAAGTTGAGAACAAAGAGTAGCCTCACACAACAGATTCGCCTCAGTAGGTTCAAGAGACTGACAACGTTGCAATTCTTTTTCCATGTCCCTCATCATCTTTTTATTGTTGCCAAACTTTAGTCTACTCCATTGCATCAAACGAGACTTACAGTGCTCCAAATTATCTGAAATGTTGAAAAATGAGGATCTAGACTGATTAGATTCCAACAAGACTAAACCACCCCTTCACAATCAGGGTCATCAATCATATACATTCGAATTTGAAATAGAAAGGGCTTTTCTTAGAGACATCACCAAACTCAACAACAAGGGGGCAATGGTCAGAACTCATCCTGGCTTCATGAGTCACCTGAGAGATGGGAAAAACTTCACACCAATCAGAATTAACTAAAGCTCTATCAAGACATTCTTGAACATTTGCAGCCATTGGACGATTATGGGACCAAGTGAAAAGGGACCACAAAAACCCAACTCTAACAGATAACAATCCAATAGAAGGTACTACAGTTCCTCAATCTTCTTAAAACATGCAGGATTACCACCTTTCTTATCATTCAAAGAACCAATAACATTAAAATCCCTAAACACCATCCAAGGATAGTTAACCAACCTACTCATGGCCTTAAGTCGTTCCCAAGTTCTTTGGTATTTCTCCACTTTAGGATCCCAATAAACAAAAGAACACTGCTACTGCACGTATTGTTGTGAAGAAAAGCATTAAACATTGATGAAATTCAAGTTCTTTGCAGTAACCTTAAGAGCAACATTATCCCTCCACCACAGGGTCAAGCCACCCGAAAGATCAACAGGATCAACATAATCAGCAAAATGGAACTTCAAAGATTTTCTCAATCGCTCCAACTTATGGATTTTAGTTTTAGTCTCTATAAGAAAAATGATTGAGGGGCAATGGGTAGCAACTAACCCTTGTAAATTACGCATTGTCCGAGGTCGGCTAACTCCTTGACAGTTCCAAGAGATGACTAACATGGGTTGTGTGGCTGTTGAAGGTCAGCCACCACCAATTGTTCCGGTTGACAGATGAAATTTTTCACCTCAGACAAAGCACGGATGGTTGTGAAAACCAATGAGACATGCTCCAATCAACATTATTCTCTCCTCTACCCTCATTACCTCCCCCCTCTAAATTTGGTTGCTGGTAGTGCAAGTGAGGCTTCATCTCTTCCATGTGGGCCAATTGAATATCTAAAATACGCCTGGCATGTGGTCTCCTTTTGGTCTTACATTTGTATCGTCGTCGTTGAGTCTTCAGGATAATATTAATACCAGGAGAATAAACAAAAATATCATGGATCAGGGGATGCTCAATTTGAGGACCAGCTAGCAGACAGTCTTGTGATGAGTGAAAAGGAACCCTTTTGTTACGTTTGTAACTTGCCAAAGGGTCCCCACCATCAACATTAACAAACTGGGCCTTCCTTTTCAAGGTCATGTTTTGAAAATGGGTTTTCATGTGATCACCAGCCTCCGTACTCCCACTATCTGAAAGAATATGAACCATATTGCCACATTTACCCTTAGCTTCCAGGCTATCTGAAGGTTCAAAGACGTAGTAGGATCCCCTTTTCACTACCACCAGCATCTCTAAATCCTCTTTGGAATCGGAATGAATTAGACTGTGATCCCAAGCTTGAGCCCCTCCCACAAAAGGGAAAACCACCAGAAGATGGGAATTATAAAATGAGCCACTTAATTGAGTTTGTATATTACATTCTGGTGTAGCATTGCAAGTATTTGGAATCTCCCTAAGGGGAGCCTCAGGATCAACCCGAGGCATACTTATGGGTGCCTTACTAGGCTCTGGAAAATCATGAACAGAAGGAGCGACCTCAGTTCTATCATGCAGTTTACCTTTAAGCTTCTCTTTTTTCTCCAAATTCTCCCGAGCCTTTAGGGACCAAGTTTCCCTGAAGAAATTCGAAGAGGAACTGCTTTGGGCTCGTAAATTTGGACCAAACTGGCTTTTAGCTCCCAATTTACCTCTCTCATTGCATTGACTTTGTGCATGTCCAATTCTACCACATAGGTAACAAAAATCAGAAAGCCTCTTATACTTCAGAGTAATCCAAATATCATCTTGATTATCCTTAGCCAGAAAGAATCCTTTCTTTAATGGCTCTTGAAGATTTATTCTACATTTCACCCTCATATAATTACGTTGGAATTGAACTTCGCCATCCACATCCTCCAATTGAGTAGGATCCCCAATCACACGCCCAATCCTCCAAGAATTGTTTTTAGTCATCATATCAAGTGGTAACCCTCCGATCTACATCTAGAATTCCGAATAATGGAACTCAAAAGTCACTAATAATGCTTTGAGGCAGATAGGGTTTGAGAACCAATAAAGTGCCCATAATAGACCAGGGGTCTTCCTCTTTAAACATAAACATATAAGTATTCTTTTCCCAATATGTAATAGAAAAACCCTTCCAAGTCTTCCACGAGCTCTGAAGAACATTGCACACTCCTTGTTTATTTAGGTTGGTATACGTGTAAAACTGGCCCACAAGACAAGGTTTCTCAATATTTTTGGAGGTAGATGGATTCGCAAATAGTGAAATATGAGGAGGAGGGTTGGAATATGAGTCGGCTTCTATTTCAAGCTCCATAGAACAAGGGAAATGGATGAAAGAAAGACCCAACAAGAAACGACAAACCCTATAGAAGCGGAGAAAGGGCACAAAGAAAGTAAGGGAAGAAAAGATGAAAATGAACTGAAGGAACCGACAAGAGAGCAAAATCCAGACCAAAGAATGTTCGAAAACAGAGAGACATAAAAGGGGAAGAAAGGGACTTCCAAAGGTGAAGACAAGAGAAGATAAGGACACAGATAAAATAAATAAAAAAGACACCCAAAAGACCATAATAAAGCCAGATCACCCGTTGGGATGCATTAAAGTAAAATAAATGAAACCCATAGTAGGTACCTGGAAAGAAAAAACACCGAGCCTCACAACCTCGGGAGTAAAGAGCACATAAATAGAAGAATCAGTACATCGAAAGGATGAGGAAAGCCTCAAGGAAAACCCTAACTAGGGTAGAGAACTCTCATCTTGAATTTGTACTGAATTTTATGTACTAATTCACCAAAAATTTAATTAAATTTTATTAAATCATCACAAAAATTATATAATATATTCACATATACATGTTAATGTACAAATTATAATTTGATTAAATATTATTAAATTTAAATTCACGAAATATTATAGAATGACTCTATAATCGATTTCGAAATTAATTCACATTCACTTAGTTTGATTTGCATGCGAATCGAATTTGAATTAAAATTCAATGAATTAACACCTTTAATTCCACTAAAGGACAAAAGAAAATACTTTGAATCTCAAATTTGAAATTCTTCTTGGAAAACTCAACTGGGAATCTTTGGATCAGTGTGTTATATTAATGGAATTCACTAATCTAGGGGTAAAATTGTATCCGAATGTGGGACCAGCACTGGTCCAGGGTAAAGTTGATGAAAAGAAAAATTATAGGGGTAAAATTGTATTTTTGAATAACCGAGAGTCCTAATGAAAATTCTGATTTGTAATTCTTGGCACGGGAAGAGACAGTGCCGAAGACAGCCTTTATTTCTCAGTTTCTCTTCAAACTGGCTATTCATTGGCGTCAAAGGAACCCTCTGCAGGATAGCGTCATACAGGTGCTTTGTCTCTCTGTATACACTCTCCCTTTACTCTCTCTCTCTCTCTCTCTCTCTACCTATTGACTTACCTGTGTATTGCTGATATGGATACATGTAGTTATTTTTCTATACATATATCTCTAAGTCAGAATTTTAGATTTTTGTAGGAATTTTGTACTATTTTAAAGCAGTTTAGCTGAATTGGAGGTGGGTTTTCGAAATATCAACTTCTTTTTTATTTTTTTGAATTTTTTTGATCTTAGTCTTAATCCTAGTGAGATGTGGGTGGCTCTATTTAAGTCCTATTAGTAGGTTTAATAATCTTTTATGGTAACTGGTGAGGTCAAATTATCGTCTAATTGAAGACTTGCAATTTACTTTGTTGGTATGATTTGCTAGAGCATGAACTTAAGTTGAATTAATTGTTAATGCTGTAATGGTTGCAAATTATGTATTGGGGGCATTGAAGGTGATCTAGCTCGAAACATCAGTTCATTAGCTTCACTTCATGCGAGATTGATGTTACTCGAACAATGCCAAAATTTTTGCCACTAATAATGCATCAATTTCCTTCGCATTGCCAGGGCAATGTGCTATGCAGCACATTGTCATTGTTGATTTAAGAAGTGACAGAAATATTCAGGTTAAAGCCATTATACATGCATGAAAAGTAGCTTAATAATTATGTGATATGCCGATTAAACAAGAAGATTACATTCTGAGAAAAAAGACTCAAGTTATTGAGTTTTTTGAAAATGCCCTTCTCAGTTTGATTTCATCGAAGTGATTGTATGTCACTCCTTGCCAATGATTGGATATTCTAAATGTTATTCAGCTTAAGGGTAATATATTCACAAAAGAGTGTAGAAGAAAGGAACTAAGGGAGCACCTCAACATCACACTTCCATGAACTTATATTCATGCTTCTTCTCAGGAAATCTGTCATGTAATTTTCTTATTCTTTTTATTTGCCCTGTTATTCCAAAAAATTTTGCAAATTCTAATTTTTCTCTGCTGTTTGGTAGCTATTTTGTTGAGAAGTTTATCAAGTGGCTGTCTCCTGTCTCTATAGAGCCAATAAGAAAGCTTCGCTTCTTTTTTATCCTATTTCTTTTATGGATAAGTTTTTCTATCTTTCTAGTACTGTTTAGGCTTAGGTTTCTTATAATTTCAGTTTGGATCCCAGCTTTTATTCGTTGATCTTTTGCAGGAAGGTGCACATATTGGTACGTTACTGTGGAATGGATTATCTTTGTGGGATTGGGCAGTGTTCATCTTGATCCTCGTCTTTGTTGGATCGGTGTCATGCATGTTATGAAGTTCTGTGATTCTACGTGCTATGAAGTTCTGTGTTTATATGACTGATTATGATCTATTATCTTGTTTCTTGGTTCATGTATGCTACTTCACTTTTATTTTTACACTTTTTGGGAGGTAAGTGCACCATTCTGTACCGAAAATATCTAGAAACTTTGGTTTCGTGACATTCTTTTGCACATCACTCTTGTTCCTGTTTCAGAAAAAAAAAAAAAATTCTTGATCTTCAGCACCTGCTTCATATTCCTGTTGATCATCATTCAAGATTCTCCTTTTTGTTATATCTAACTTTCTAACAGTACTTTCTAGTATTGCTACTGCTATCCCATTTGTAGAATCCCTTCGCTGCAACCCCTTGGAGTCGTATCATGACACTGGCCAAATTGAAATTTACATGTCACAGCTCCCTTTGGGATTTCATTTTCATTCCTTCTTTCCATTTATGCATGTTTCTTCCAATGAATTTTTCTGGCTTCTATGCCTTCTCCGCAGTTTCCTTGCCTGCTTACTTAATTAAATACAAAAGATGCCAAGGGCAAAGGCAAAGTCTGCAGCAGCACCTAAGGTGGATCTTGAAAAGCTAGCTGAACCTAAAAAGTTGAATGATTCTGATGAGAGGGTGGATCTTGATGGAGATACTGATAATGAGGAGGTTGTAGATGAAGAAAGTGAGTATGAAGAAGTAGAGGAAGTGGAAGAAATAGAAGTAGAGGAAGAGGAGGAAGTGGAAGAAATAGAAGAAGAGGAAGATGTAGAGGAGGAGGAGGAGGAGGAGGAAATGGAAGAAGAAGAAGAAGAGGAGGAGGATGGGTCAGATCTTCCTAGTGAGGCTGATGCTGAAAAGAGCCTCATCGGTGGTAACAGAAAGGTTGATCATGAAGATGAGTGTAACAAGCATGCTCAACTTCTTGCCCTGCCTCCTCATGGCTCTGAAGTATATATTGGTGGCATTCCTCAAGATGCTTCTGAGGAAAATTTGAGAGGCTTTAGTGAATCTGTAGGAGAAGTCACAGAGGTAAGCTCTATTAATATTTATAGAAATAGTTTTTTTTATGATCTCTTTGTGAAGTCTAATACGATTATGTTTCATGACATTAGGTTAAGATAATGAAAGGAAAAGAAGCGGGTAACAACAAGGGCTTCGCTTTTGTAACTTTTCGAAGTGTTGAATTAGCAGCTAAAGCAATTGAGAAGCTGAATAATTCTGAATTCATGGTAACATAATCTCCAGAATATTGTGTCTATGCTTCCTATATTCCATCTGAGTTGATGAAAATTATGAGATGTGGTTCATCTGTACATTCCAAGGACTGTATTCTTCCGCCCAAGTTTTGGTTTTCCTGGCTTTGGAAGTACAGTGATATGTTATCTTGAATACTTTCTTGGATGCTTTTGAGATTGCTGACTGCTCTCTGTCTCTTCCTCTGTGTGTGTCAGGGGAGAAAAATAAAATGTTCGAAATCTCAAGCAAAGCATCGATTATTCATTGGTAATGTTCCTAGGAACTGGGGAGATGCAGACATAAAGAAGGCTGTGACTCAGGTTGGGCCTGGAGTTACTTCTGTGGAACTGGTCAAGGTTGGTGCAATCTGTAGTTCATTTTTTGTATAATTCGTCTTTGAAGTAACTTTATCAACTTTTATTTTCGTCATTCTCTTAGACATCTAAACTGTTTTTCCTTTTCCATTGACAAGTAATCACCATGTACTCATTGTGTATATTTTGGTTGCAGGATATGAAGAATCGAAACAATAGCCGTGGCTTTGCCTTTATAGATTATTATAATCATGCATGTGCCGAGTATTCAAGGCAGAAGATGATGAATTCAGAGTTCAAGCTAGATGATAATGCTCCAACTGTGAGCTGGGCTGACCCTAAAAATGCCGATTCTTCACCAGCTTCGCAGGTTTGAATATTTTTAAGCCTTTTGTCATTTTCATTGTTATTGTCTCGTACTTACGTGACGAATGATGGCAATCATGGAATGTTGACACTGACAGATGGGTCAGTGTTATGGTGGCCATAAGATACAAATGGACAACAAAGATGTGCACCTAATATATGTTGGCCTTTGTGTTGCTGGTAGTGCATGTTATAACAGGATTATCCTTGTCAAATAAATTGCAGGTCAGTAGCTCCATTGTCAATAATGTACCTTGCTACCAAATATAAAAAAAGGGTGTTTTGGTGCGCAGAACTTGTCCATTTGATGCATACTGGGTATTTCATGCTGGGATTACCCTTCTGGAGGTTTTTTGGTGTGACTTTTGCCTCTTGCAGTTCATCAGCTCTAATAGTAATTGTATAGGAATGAGTGTCTTACAGGACATATTGAGGGTACATGGAAGAGATTACTGCCTGGTAGGCTGAATGAATTGGATGATCCAGGCACTGTCCAATAGATAGTATCTTCGTCCTGGCATATCCATACCTTCGAATAAAGAAGTTGCTAGATGATGAATCAAACTGATTTTTTCCCTGTTGCGTCATTTTAGTTTGGACTAAGTTGGACGCTTTTCAGAACTTGCATGGTTATCTCATTANGGTATCTTCGTCCTGGCATATCCATACCTTCGAATAAAGAAGTTGCTAGATGATGAATCAAACTGATTTTTTCCCTGTTGCATCATTTTAGTTTGGACTAAGTTGGACGCTTTTCAGAACTTGCATGGTTATCTCATTACTCATATCTGCACAGACTGTCTACCTGCTGTCTTAAGGAATAATAAATGGTATGCATCAGATGTTGTCACTTAATGCTTATGGTTTGATCAATACACCACTGTATGGGATCTCAAGTAGCAGTTGAGAACAATTTATTGCGATTAATATTGAGATATCATGTTTCTGTAGGTTGATTTAGTTAAATGACTTGATGCTTATGGTTTGAGATTTTGATCAATACACCAATGCTCTTTTATACAGGTGAAGGCAGTGTATGTGAAGAATTTGCCGATTGACACAACCCAAGATATGATGAGGAAACTATTTGAACACCATGGGAAGATCATAAAAGTGGTCCTGCTACCAGCAAATACCGGACACGGAAAGAATAGAATTGGTTTTGTGCACTTTGCCGAGAGGTCCAGTGCTCTGAAAGCACTAAAAAACACCGAGAAATATGAAATAGATGGTGATCATTGCTTTTGTTACTTTTCTTAGGAATGGTTAAATATTTGATTTTGTAATCTTGAAGTTCTTGTGTTTCTGGGGTGCAACTAAACGTAATATAATGTTGGTTTTTGGTCAAATTTCAGGCCAACTACTGCAGTGTTCTCTTGCTAAACCACAGGCGGAACAAAAGTCTGTGGGAGGGTCAAATTCTCAGAAGTCTGGTTTGCTTCCCAGTCATCCATCTCGTGCTGGTTACGGTTTGCTTGGGGGTGCCTATGGTGCTCTAGGGGCTGGTTATGGTGCTGCAGCCTTTGCTCAGGTGTAAATGTGTACTTGCTTAGTTTGTCAATGTTGCATTTTTGTAACTTCGTTCTTTCTTGTTTCATTATTTAAGTTTTCTTTTGCTCAAATCTTCCTAAGACAATGGACCAGCTGTGTTATTCATTCTTTTCAAGACATCTCAATTTTTTAAAAAATAGTTGCTAATGGAAGTAGAAACAGTGGTCAATATTTTATACAGACAGTCATTTTTTATAGGCGAGCCAATTCTTAGTTGTAGAAAAGGTTGCTGTCTAAGATTCTAAGATTTGACAGGAAAGTATTTCTTAAGAGCAAACCCTCTTTCTATTACAGAAGAACTTACAAAGTTTAGCCAGTCATGTAAATATGCATTTGTGATGCCACTCCCAAATATCAGGGTGATGTAGATCATAACACAATCCTCATCAGAGGGTGTATGGCTTAAGTTTTGGTTCATACTTGTTTCATGGTGTTAGGTATTCACCCCAGAAAAATCATAACAAATAGGTGATAATGTATTAAGGGAGGCTGGTCTCTTGGTGTGTTCATTAACCTACATTATACTATGGAGGTATACATATACCCATGTCCCAAACTGGTCTTCAGAATTCCACCTCCCCCTTTGAGGGTGGTAGAGAGATGCCACTTAGGCTGAAATATGCTGGTGTACATTTGGGAGCAAGTTACGGTCGCTAATGTACTTTTTTCTGAAACACAAAAGTACACCATTGCACACTTTAAACCAGAAGATCATAATGAGGGTGATGATGCTGATTATTGCTTGTGACGCTAGTGATGTTGTATCATTATGGACAGTGTCAATACTGTTGATGGTGAAAGAGAAGAAGTTAATTTTCTTGTTGGTTTTGTGATCACTTTTGCATTGGTACTATTAAGAATAGTAGGGTAGTATATATAAATTGTTAATAGTAAGAGGGTGTATGTGTAATTCTTATTATTGTTGGTTAACTATAAATACAAGTGATTAATGAGATCTAGGTTAAGGTTTAACTTCTCTCTGTTTCTCTCTAATATTGTGTTAATTCTCCACACTTAACATGGTATCAGAGCGATTACGATCATAACTATATTCTAAATAAATTAATTCTGTTTGTAGGTACTATGGTGGTGCCGGTGTTTGTCGAAGCATATGTGGTGGTGGTCTGTTTGTGGTACTGGTGTGGTGTCGTTGCTTGTCGAAGTATAGTGGTGGTGGTGGTGATACTATCATCGTGGTGGTGGTGGTGGTATTGTTGTGGTTCTGGTGTTTGTCGAAGTGTAGCGGTGGTGGTGATACTGTTGTGGTGGTCGCCATCTTCTGTTCTTCGCCGCTGTCTGTTATTCGTCGTGGTGGTTGCCGGAGTAGTGGTGGTGGTGTTGGCTGTTGTGGTGGGCCGCTGTTTGTAGTGGTGGTGAGGCACAGTCAAGACCAGGGTTCGCTGAAACCCTAATAAACGAATGAAGAATACAAGGTCCAGACCCTTGTTCGGACCCGATCCTGATCCAGCCTAATTAAATCGGGTCCAACCCCCTGGTTCAGCCTAGACCGAATCAATCCCGGTTCGGTCCCTGTTCATCGGTCAAGTGAGTGTTTGTAGTCCAGTTCAGATAGTTCTGCACCAGTTCATATCGGTTCAGTCAGTTTTCACCCCGGTTCATCGGTCCAGCATGCCTAATCAGTTCGGTTTAGTGATTCAGCGAGCTAAACCAGCCCGGTTCAGTGGTCCAGTTGGCTTAGCCTGTCCAGTTCAGCAGTGTAACTCTTCTGGTTCAACCTATTCTCTTCCAGCAGCTTGTTTTCCTGCCCGATTCAGTGGTTCAGAGGGCTTAGCTTGTTCGGTTCAGCAGTGTAACTCTTCCAGCAGCCTGTTTTTAGGCTTAGCTTGTTCGGTTCAGTAGTGTAACACTTCCGGCAACCTTTTTTTCTTCTGGATTATTCTAGCAGCCTGTTTTTCTTATGGAACCCAAGCAAGATTCTAGGGCACTTACTCTATCTTTGCCTCTTCCTACTATTATCAATGGTCCCATGACCTCTGTTAAACTCAATGGGACCAATTATACGTTATGGTCCTGGTCTGTTCAAATCTTTCTTCGAGGCAAAGGATTTAAAAAATATTTGGTGGATCCTAAACCCAAGGAAGATAGTCTTGGTTATGATCAATGGGAACAAGAAGATGCTCAAATTATTTCTTTACTATTGAATAGCATTGAACCTAGTATTAGTTCTACTCTGCTCTACCTTGACACTGTCAAGGAGATATGGAATCACTTGACCACTATGTATTCTGATACTGGCAATTTCATCCGAGCTTATGAGGTGTGCAAGGAGTATTTCTGGCTGGAACAAAGTATTCTAAGCATTGAGGATTATTACTCTCACGTTCGAGGAGTCTGTGAGGAGATGAAGACCTACCATCCATTTACTACTGATGCAACAGTTTGGCAGAAACAACATGAGGACATGAATGTTGTTAGGTTTTTGGTGGGTTTGAAACTTGAATATGAGGGTATTCGTTCTCAAATTTTGGGTGGCTCTACTCTTCCCTCACTACTTGAGGTTTTCTCTCGCATACTGCATGCTACTTTGTCTATTTTAGGTATCAATCATGGTGTTTCCACTGACCGCTTAGCTCTTGTGGTTCCTAGTAGCCATAGTGATTGTCGTTGTGGTGGTCAAGGAGGTCGTACGGGTGGTCGTGGGGGCCGTAGTGGATCACGTTCCTGTACTCACTATGGTCATGGAAGGTATACTGTTGATTTTTGTTGGGATTTACATGGCAAACCTTCTGGTACTGCGAATCAAGTTTCTTCTCAGGATGACACCTGTTTTTTGCGACTTCTATACCTCGGTCAGCTCCACCAGATACTGGGTCGGTTACTCTTACACGAGAAGGGTATGCTCAGCTCCTGTCCCAACAATATGCTGTTCCATCTCATTCCATTACTACTTTTGCCCAGTCAGGTACTGCTTCCACCTGTTTATTGTCCTCCACTTGCAGTCCTTAGATCATAGACACACCTCTGACCACATGACTGGTGCGTTTGACATTGTTTTTACTTATAAGTCTGCTACTTCCACACGTAGTGTTACTCTTGCTAATGGTATTTGTTTTAAATTTCGAGGTTTGGGGATTACTCACTTGAGTCCTGATATATCCCTATCTTTCGTGTTATTTGTTCCTCAGTTTCCTTTTAGTTTACTTTCCATTAGCAAGATTACCCGTTCTCTCAAGTGTTATGTAACTTTTTATCCCTCTTATTGTGTCTTTCAGAATCTCAAGATGAAGAGGAAGATTGGTACAAGACATGAAGTTGGTGGCCTATATTACCTTGACTTTGATTCACCTACCTGAGCTCTACAGACCTCGTTGTCTCATTTTCAATGACATTGTCGTCTTGGACATCCTTCTCTCTACAATCTGAAGCGTCAAGTTTTTAGTCTTAGTTATGTGTCGTCTTTGTCTTGTGAAGGTTGTCAACTTAGTAAGTATCACCGTGTGTCATTTCAGTCTAGAGTCAATAATTGTGTGTCTAATCTATTTGAATTAGTCCATTCTGATGTATGAGGTCCAATAAAGAATATTTCATCTAATAAATATCCTTATTTTGTGACATTTGTGGATGACTATTCTCGTGTGACTTGGTTATTTTTGATAAAAGCTCGGTCTGAATTATTCTCTATATTTGAGACTTTTCGTAAGGAAATAAAAACTCAGTTTGATTGTCGTATATGTACTTTACGTTCCGATAATGCTCGGGAATATGAATTTGATCCTTTTTTAGCTTATCTTAGTAAAACTGACATTATTCATCAGACTTCTTGTGTTTACACATCTCTACAAAATGGTATTGCTGAACGCAAGAACCGTCATTTGTTGGAAGTCACCCGTGCCCTGTTATTTCAGATGAATATTCTCCGATATTATTAGAGTGATACTGTTCTTACTGGTTGTCATCTTATTAATCGTATGTCATCCTCTGTGTTAAATGGGCAAAGTCAATATTCTGTCATTTTTCCTGGTAAGCCCTTATTTTTCCTGACTCCTATGATTTTTGGTTGTGTCTGTTATGTTCACAATTTGAGTCCTGAGTTTGACAAACTTGACCCTCGAACTACCAAATGTATATTTCTTGGTTACTCTCGCACTCAAAAGAGGTATCGTGTTAAGAGTATTGGGGTATTGTGTGTAGATTGTTAATAGTGTTAGGGTACTATGTGTAAATATAAGAGAATGTATGTGTAATTCTTATATTATGAGTTAACTATAAATACAAGTGATTTTGTGAGAGTAGGTTAAGTTTTGACCACTCTCCATCTTTCTCTAATATTGAGTTGATTCTCTAAACTTAACATGGTATCAGAGTATTATAATTCTAAATACAAATATTAGTATTAGTCTGTATTTGTGTTGTGAAAATTACTTGGCTTGGTGACGTTACTGTTGAGGTAGTATCACTGTGCTGTTGTCAGAGTTCCGGCGTCGTGGTGGTGTTACACAATGGTTGCGATACACTGTGGTAGTGGTGGTACAGTGGCTGGGGTGGAGATTTCAATCGTTGTGGTGTTGTGTGAGTCGATCGTGGCTCGATCGTTGTAGTGCCTGTGAGTTTATCATTGTGGTGTTGCGACAGTCGATCGTGGCTACTGAGTAGATTGTCGACGCTGGTGGTCTTCTGCGGTGGTTACTGTGGTGTTGTGGTGGTGGTTGCTATACAGGGTTCTCTTAAAACCCTAATTTGGAGAGGATGAAGTCCATTGGGGTGGTTGCGGGTTGGTTCCAGTCCAAGATCCAAACCAAAACCGGTCTAGCCCAGACTCAGATCAGACCGGTCCAAGGCCGGTTCAGTCCACTCCAGGCCTGTTTAGTCCCGGTTTACTTACTTTGGCACCGGTTCAGACCAGTTCCAGTATCTTTCCTAGCCGGTTCAGCGTTCCAGCAAGGTTTTCAGTCCGGTTCAGCAGTCCAGTGAGACCTTTCAGTCCAGTTCAGTTATCTAGTGGTCTTCTCTTGCTCCGTTCAATTATCCAGCAATAAGGTTGCTTCTTTTTTTGCTATCTACTATATTATTATGGAACCTAAACAAGATGTTATTGCTCCACCTATTTCTCCGGTTCTTATTAATGGTCTCATGACTTCTGTTAAACTTAATGGGAACAATTATACTTTATGGTCCCGTTCCGTTCAAGTCTTTTTTCGAGGCAAAGGTTTTAAGAAATATTTGGTTAATCCTAAACCTAAGGAAGATACTTCTGGATATGATCAATGGAAACAAGAGGATGCTCAAATTATCTCTTTACTGTTGAATAGCATTGAGCCGAGTATTAGTTCTACCCTGCTTTATCTTGACACTGCCAAAGAGATATGGAATCACTTGGTTACTATGTATTCTAGCACAGGTAATTTTACCCGTGCTTTTGAGGTGTGCAAGCAGTACTTCCAACTAGATCAGGGTACTCTGAGTCTTGAGGATTATTACTCTCACGTTCGGGGAGTCTGTGAGGAGTTAAAGCTCTACCATCCGTTCACTACTGATGTAGCAGTTTGGCATAAACAACATGAAAATTTGAATGTTGTTAGATTTTTGGTAGGATTGAAACTTGAATATGAGACTATTCGTTCTCAGATTTTAGATCCTTCTAGTCTTCCCTCTCTACTTGAGGTTTTCTCTCGTTTACAGCGTGTTACTCTGTCTACTCCTTCAGGCATTGATCATGGTGTCTCCATTGATTGCTCAGCTCTTGTGGTTCCTAGTAGCTACAGTGATGGTTACCGAGGTGGCCGTGGTAATCGTGGAGGTCGTACAAGTGGTCGTGGTCGTCGTGGAGGGCATACTATTGACTTCTGTTGGGATTTACATGGAAAACCTTCTGGTGCTGCTAATCAGGCTTCTTATCAGGATGACACCTCGGTTGTTGCTTCCGTACTTCAGTCAACTCCACCAGACACTGGATCAGTTACTATTACACTGGGTTGAGAGGAGTATGCTCAGTTCCTGTCCCAGCAATAGGTTGTTCCATCTCCCTCCACTGCTACTTTTGCCCAGTCAGGTATTGCTTTCATTTGTTTATTGTCCTCCACCTGCAGTCCTTGGATCATAGACTCTGGCGCTTCTGACCACATGACTGGTGCGTCTGATATTTTTTCTACTTATCAGTCTGCTACTTCCACACGTAGTGTTACTCTTGCNGTCTCATGACTTCTGTTAAACTTAATGGGAACAATTATACTTTATGGTCCCGTTCCGTTCAAGTCTTTTTTCGAGGCAAAGGTTTTAAGAAATATTTGGTTAATCCTAAACCTAAGGAAGATACTTCTGGATATGATCAATGGAAACAAGAGGATGCTCAAATTATCTCTTTACTGTTGAATAGCATTGAGCCGAGTATTAGTTCTACCCTGCTTTATCTTGACACTGCCAAAGAGATATGGAATCACTTGGTTACTATGTATTCTAGCACAGGTAATTTTACCCGTGCTTTTGAGGTGTGCAAGCAGTACTTCCAACTAGATCAGGGTACTCTGAGTCTTGAGGATTATTACTCTCACGTTCGGGGAGTCTGTGAGGAGTTAAAGCTCTACCATCCGTTCACTACTGATGTAGCAGTTTGGCATAAGCAACATGAGAATTTGAATGTTGTTAGATTTTTGGTACGATTGAAACTTGAATATGAGACTATTCGTTCTCAGATTTTAGATCGTTCTAGTCTTCCCTCTCTACTTGAGGTTTTCTCTCGTTTACAGCGTGTTACTCTGTCTACTCCTTCAGGCATTGATCATGGTGTCTCCATTGATTGCTCAGCTCTTGTGGTTCCTAGTAGCTACAGTGATGGTTACCGAGGTGGCCGTGGTAATCGTGGAGGTCGTACAAGTGGTCGTGGTCGTCGTGGAGGGCATACTGTTGACTTTTGTTGGGATTTACATGGAAAACCTTCTGGTGCTGCTAATCAGGCTTCTTATCAGGATGACACCTCGGTTGTTGCTTCCGTACTTCGGTCAACTCCACCAGACACTGGATCAGTTACTATTACACTGGGTTGAGAGGAGTATGCTCAGTTCCTGTCCCAGCAATAGGTTGTTCCATCTCCCTCCACTGCTACTTTTGCCCAGTCAGGTATTGCTTTCATTTGTTTATTGTCCTCCACCTGCAGTC